TGCGGCAAGCCAGGGATGACCAGTAGCGATTTAAGAAAATTATAGGGATGGGCAAGAACCAGGTGAGAGTCCACACCGGCATTTTGACGGTTCATTGCAGGTTTAGGGGAAACCTCAGTAGGCTGGGCCTGGAAAATGAGGATAATTGGAGTATGAAGAGACCTCGGTGCACCTCCTGGGGGAGTGTGATGCTCTTGCTCATAGGAGGGGGGAGGTGCTGGGGGGATTTGTTCTAACGGTGGCGAAGTTATGGTCTTTTGGTCCTCACAAGTTGCTTGAGTTCATCAGGGGGTCGAGCGTCTCGAGCGTGTGTTGTAGGGCATGCCCCGCACTCGGATGAGGGCACACAATAGATCCTTATACGTGGTCACGGTGCACTGCTGCCCCCGTGGTACAAATATACAAATCTACAAATATTTATAGTCTTCGGAGAGTATATTTTCCTCTTGTACTTACGAGACAACATATTTTCCTCTTATTAAAACTATTTTTCCTTAATGTTATAAATGAACAAACAAATATGTTATACTCTGCGAGGTTATCTCTCATACAAGTATAGAGAGAGTGAGAGAAAAAAAAAAAAAAAAAACAAGTTAAACTACAAAAAAAAATAAATGTTGCAAAATATAATAAAGTCAAAATAACTAATAAAAATTAAGAGATAACTGAAACGAACATCTGGTAGACAAAATGGAAAATAATGATGCGGTGGTCGGATATCTTCGTATATAATATGGTTGGGTTTAGTATCAATAATAATTATAATTCTTCTCTTTTAAGTTTTTCATACAATTTAATTTTTCTTGTTTTCTTTGCATAACCCTAAGTTTTTTTTATTATAGTCTGTAGGTGTATACCAGAGTATACATTTTTAAGGATAATGAAAAAAATATGAGATTCTACGTATAAAAATTTAAAAATTTTGTATGTAATACAAATTACACTAGCTACAGAAGAGTAATTTTACACTTTTGAAGGAAAAAGAAAAATTGTATAAGTTTTATGATGGATTGCAATCTAGATTTAGCAAGAGAAGATCAAAAAAAAATTTACTTTTCAAATATCATAAACTTTTTAAAATTTTCTGGATAAATTTTTTTCATTTTATGAATATGTTTTTCTTTTTTAGCCACTGCAGGGCACTTAGCTATAAAGTAAAAGTAAGATCGTTAAATTTATAAAAAGTTTTGTAATTTAGTAGAAAAAAATTGTGATGAATGTAGAATAAAAGATTCATTAATTGTGCTAGCTATACGCAAAGAATTTCGTTTTAGATTTTGAATCCGAAAATGTACTAAACTTCGATTATGAAGTAAAAATTATGAGAATAATTAAAGACTTCCATGCAGTTTCATGCACTTTTGGTAAATATTTCACTTAGAAATCGGAAGGAAAATGTGTTCAAATCCCAAAACAATTTGGTATTTATTCTAAATTTCCTTATATCTAATTCCCTAATTCCTAAAGGGGTTAAAAATTATTCAACATCCCTTAAAAAACTCAAATTGTATTGTAATTTATCCAATCCAATAATGACTCTTGGGTTCCTTCCTGAGTGCAGTCGAGCACATCAATAGCAGTTGGGAAAATGCAACGACATGCTGTGCGACAAGACAATTTTTACCTAAGCTAGATCCATGTCGCACGACGGATTTGATATCTCTTCCGCAGGGTGAGATGGGAGCTGTTATACGGGCTATAACTGGACACTGTCTGATAGGTGATCACGTCAGGAGGATGGAACAACCCACTAACTATTGCTGTGACTGAGAGACGGAGGAGAAGAAGGAGGAGATGGTCGCATTTCTCTCTGCGATTTATGGAGCAGAGGCTTTAACCGATTTATAAAGAACTCAAGCTGGTTCATGTGAGGGTGGATAAGTGGGGATCCATATTACAACCGACTTACTTGGATTAAATGCATCTTTTGATAGCCGCGACTTTTCCAATCCTCCCCTCCAAAATTTAATAAATTTCTCTATTTGTATACACATTTACAGCAGTATAAAAGTATATTTGTTAAATTTTTTAACTGTTATACTGCGGATTATTCTACTCCTACGGATTATTCTACTCTACATTTTTCGTAGCTTCAATTGAATCAATTTTTTCGCCTTAAATATTAAAATATAAAATTTTGGAAAAAAAGATTACAATAAAAACAAAAATCAATTATGGGAATCAATTTTCTTCTTCATATTAATTTATTTAATTCCATTTTGTAATTACGAGATCTCAAAGGATTTGTTTTGATTTCATATTATTCTCATTAATTTGTAATTAAATATTTTAATATTACATTTTATTACAATGTTGATTATAGTTATGTTGGTAGAGATGAAATCCTATATAGAAAATTAAACGCACCGAGGTGATGGGAGCTCATTATTCTTCTGAAAAATTATTCGAAAGGCGAATTTACTAATAAAAATTTAAGGAATTGAACACAATGCTGAACTGTTATATTGAGCCTATAAAATTTTCTATATTTGATTTTACACCTCATTCATATTTCGTTCATTTCGTTAGTATTTGTTTTCACAGTAAACTTTTTGGTCGTTCCATTGCAACAAACTTTTTAGAATACAGTGATTCCGTTTGGTTTTTCCTCTTCTTATTTGTTGGAAATACTCAAACACTAACTAATTAAGATTATTAAGTATAACTTTTGAAATTAATTTTCATTTTTCAATTAATTAAAATTTTTAGAGAAAAACAAAAGTTTAAAAATAAATTATTTTTGAACCAGTGTGTGTAATTTTAAAGGACCTAAATTTCTAATATTTTGTCATTTGATATTTTACGGTTTAGGTATAATTTGCATGTATGTATGCATGTTTCATGGTTTATGCGAATTCTCTTAGGATCGCAATGATTTGGCATATTTAGAGAAAAATAATTATTTATTAAATTAAAAATTTAAATATCTTTCTCATTTTATTACGTTTTTTTTTTAATTATACTTTAATGTTGCTCTTTATTTTAATTACACGAGGAATTTTATGATGAGAAAAAAACCCTCTTCATTTCTTCTTTAAATGAAGAATTTTAAATGAATTTTTAAATTTAAGAAAGCTAAAAGTTAAAGAATTTCTTTTTGAGTCTTTAATTTTCTCTCTCATTTCCCTTCCCCCTACTCTTTACGTGTTTATATACCATATTTTTCTTCTTTATTACTTTAATAATGACATTGTACCAAAACCATTATATTTATTTTTTTTTTCAGAGTAATTCTCTTATTTCTTTTCATATATACATACTTTTATTATACTGAGGGCAAAAAAACAAAAACAAAACAAAAATTTGAACTAAATGTCCTTTTTTTTCCTGTATGTAATAATTTTGAATTGAGTCATAAAAAATAAGAAATTATTAAGTATTTTATGTGAGGGAAAATATTATAAGAAGAAATGAAAATAAAATGTCAAAACGGTAGTAGCACAACATAAGGTTTTTATTATTTGTACAAAAGATGGCAGCACAACAAAAAAAAAAAATAATAGAACAAAAATGTACGCAAAAATAAAATTTTCTATTATTTATCCTTTTCGGTACATTTCAAAAATATATACACACACATACTTTTATACTGAAAAATATAATAAAAATGTGTGAAAAACTCAAAAAAACCAACAAGGAAAAACAAAATTACATATACACAATTTAACCTTATTATTATAATCATTATTATCATTATCATCATCACCATCATTATCATCATTATTATCATTATAATCATGAGCAAAAACAATCATATTATTAATAATAATCACCAATATAATGAACAATTCAAATATTACCACTATATTAACGTCCGCATGTACATCAAATGTATTATATTATACATAAAATATTTCCCATATAGGTCATATTCCAAATAATTTTTAGTACATATTTTTCTCAATAGTTGAATTTCTTAATCATTAAAATTAAAGATTTTGGGAAGATATCAAAGAATTTGAAATATGGCTTTAATTTAAAAAATTGCTTTAAAATTCCGGAATAAAATTAAAAATTACAGAAAATTAAAATTATAACATTTGATATTTCAAGTTTTTGACAATTAAATAACGTTCCGTCAATTGTCAGTGAATGAATCAAAAGCAAAAAGGGATAATCATTTGCATTGTTAGAATATAACAATTCACCAATAATATAAGACGGTCCTACTTGTATCTAGTCTATAAAATGTTTAAATGTCACATTTAACACAATTTTTGTAGAAAATGGCATCCTATTAGCATGCTACTCCAAGTTACTCGAAAATTAATTTGAAGTCTTAAATGAAATTCTTGAAATGAGTGCAATTATCTAAGAATTCTTTTAAGCAAATAATGGGTAATTACAGATTTAAATGATAATTAGAAATGTCAAAATCTTTAACATATGTCTGACATACAAAAAATTACTTTAAAATTTTCAAATGAAATGGGTTATACTCGTATCACAAAGAACTTCTTAGAAAACCTCTTAAACTATTAAAATAATTGCTAATTAAATTGTTTATAATAATAATGAATAATTTGCATTGTCATTGAGTTCTTAAAATTTCTCTTTAGTTTCTGACACAGTGACCCACCTTCTCATTTTCGATCTATAAAATTCACCCATTTTTGTTTTACTGTCTAATTATCACTAAAGAAATGTAAATAATTTTTTTTATAGAAAAATTCAATTTACAATTTTATTTTTTAAAAGTGTCCACCATGTTTTTTCGCAAAGTGCCACAAAATTTTATTTATTTTCATCTTTTGCACACTTATATATTTACGCAAATAAATTTATTATTATTTAAACACGATTAATAAGTTTTGTTTTTTTAAATGTGTTTATATATGTGTGTATAGTATTCTCTTTTATATTATTGTAAGCTATATTTAATGGTATTTTAAGCACGTAATAAAGAGTTTATCTTAGCATAATTTTTCATTATATACAATAAAGTTCATTATATACAATATACAAATATTTATACATACATATATGAAGATGCTAAGAACCTTCATTCTCATTTAAATCATTTAATCCCATGTGTACTCTTAAATTTTCACAAAATTTTTCGTCTGTTTGTTGTCTTTGTATAATAGCTAAAAATAAAATAATATAAAATTAATGTAATTTTATTACTACATACATAAATATACTCTAATACACACTAGGTCCTAATTTATATTACATGAATATACAAAAAAGAATTTTTTTTTTTAATCGAAACCTAAATTACACCTACGCAGAGTCATGTAAAGCGATAAAACACCTAATAAAATGTACTTAATTCCTGAGGGTAATTTTATGGTCAGAATTCTCTTATATTTTAATTGCGTATTTTTAAATTACAATTTAATTTTGATATTAAAATTCAAAACCAATTCAACTGATGAACTGATAACAGTAAAGGTAATTTAGTTGTACTCACTGATCTGAAATAATTTAAAATGATAAAAAAAAATTGTGTAATGGTAAAAAATACGAGTGTATGGTAGACTGGTTATCCCTTGTCGTTTTGTGTATCAAATTTAGCTAAGATTGTTAAATTTTGGATAGGCTACTCAATATCTGAAAGTGGCCCCTCTCTCCGTCTACTATCGCGCCCCCTCTCTTCCTAAAAGTTCTTCATCGAAACCGATACTTCTATGATAAATTCGAGTATCTTGTGGGAGTGGATTTCTATCAACATTTCTTGAAACTCCTTTCTTCCATTGATGAATGCCTCATACTCACTGAAATGATTCACCTAAGTGTCGTCCATTTCGCCAGATAACCAGCAAGTACCCTTTCCTTCCAGTCCTAACATCTTCATGTGACCATAAGTGTAATTTATAATTCAAAACAATGGGGTAATTTTCGTCTATTATTTCAAAAATTTCTGGCTTTTCTTCTTAAAAAACCTTGACAAATAAAAATTTGACAACTTATCAAATATCCTCTGATATTACTGCTATAGGTACTTAATTATCTTGTTGTTCAATAAAATGAGAATATCGTTGGGAACAATATTTATTTTTAATCGATTTTCATAAAATGGACAATTTTCATTATTAATTTTTATGCGTTTGGGGGGATAAAATGAAAAAAATCCCACAGACTTTTGATTACTCGATTTTTATTTTTATAATCAAAATATGATACTCGTAATAAAATAATCTTTAATTTAATGAATTTCTATAAAAATATAGAAGATTTGAACTTGAAACATAAAAAATTCAAATGAATTTTCAAAAAATTTATTTGGTTAATTTTCTAAACAATGATTTTAACGCACTCTCACGAACGCGTTTTCATGTGTTGAATATATAGGAAAGGTGACATGATAAGTTAATTAAGATTTTATTATAGCTTAAATTTTTAATCTTCTTTGTGGTGATTTGAAGAAATTTTGTACTTTTAAATATGACTAAGATTCTATAAGTTTTACTGGTGCTAGAGAAACAATCCAAAGTAAAGTACAGCAAAATTCCTAAGAATTACTTTGGATGTTTAGCCAAGATGAGAATAATATCTCAAGAACTAGAATTAGAAAACAAATATAGTGAAAACTACTGGCTGCTCCAAGTCGTAGGTGTAAGATGTTGCTATATAACCAAACAATTAACAAAGCTTATAAGGACAATGAACATACGGTATGTTTTATGGTAAGGCACAGGTGTGGTGCACAATACATAGGTAGTTCATATGCGATTATGTAAGTATAATTTTTATACTCGTATCTAAATGGACACACACACTAACAAAAATACATACTTACATAACACCAAGGGGCCCAAAACCGCACTGTCACCTCCTAGTGGTGGGCTCCGGTAATGGCGGAGGATAGAGGGGTGATTGAAACGATCAAAGTTACGTTCGTGTCGTGGTCATATCTCGCGGCGAGCTTCTTGCTTTGTGAGTTTCAGCCCTATATCTATACGTCAGCTGACGACAGGCGTCCCAAGTCAAGGTGGAACAGCATATGCCGATGACTGCGTGGCTAAGTCGTTAGTATGCGAACTCTGGATAACCATGCCCTGCAGTTTAAACGAGCCTTCCCATGGTATGCCGGGCTCTGCCATGGGTGACTATACTTTCCCGCGCTGATCGTGGGAACAAAATGGAGAGCATAAACAATAACAACAACAACAACAGCAACAATAAGAACAATAACAACAGCAACAATAACAACAGTGACAATTACAACAACAACAATACTAAGGACAACATTAATGTAAACAGTTAGTGCTCAAGGGTCTGCGGAAACAGAGCTTCTCTCGACTGACGCAAAGGAGGAACTCCTTCTCACGCCGCAGATATGAGAAAGAAAGGCTAGAAAAGCTGAGGGCCTGCGCAGGGCTCTCAAAAAAGAGGTCGATGAAGAGCAATGTTGAGGGAAAGGTCCCTGGGAACATTCCTCAATAAAACCCGAAAATGACTTCTTATCGGGATGCAGTAGCACAGGTCAAGGTGGCCATCACTTATAAACTGCATCCAGAGGACAGGCTATCCGAAGTGTAGATGGGGAAAATCAAACTAGTCATCATGGATGAAATGGATAAAGTTGTGGATTTTCATCCACAATTCACTCCAGCGTTGCAAAGGGATGGATGGATATCCGTAACATGCAACAATCAAAACACCAGGGAGTGGATAACTAGTGTCTGCAGGAAAATAAAGCCTTAGGACGGTTGCAACGTCGTAGTACTGGATGGCGACGACATGCGCAAACAGCATATCTGCGTCACTTACGTGCCAAAGGATGAGACAACCGTTAGTCTCTCCAGGGACAAATTTCTAAGTAGGATAGGGAAGAAAAAACCCAGCCTCAAGATGAGTTACTGGAGGGTGCTGAGGATGGATAAGGAAAAGGACGGGGGCTGCTCCATCACCTTTTTCGTGGATGATTCCGGATTGGAAGATCTACGGAAAGCGGAGTTCCGACTTTTTCTGAACTTCTTCCGTGCTACCGTTCGGGTTAAAGGAAGAAAATCCTCTCAAGGTGCTGGCGGCAGGGCAGGACAAAATAAAAATCCAACGCCCACCACGACAACGACGAGAACTTCAGGCCAACCGAAAGAGCCAAAACTCATTGGGAAGTCTGAAGTCGCTCCGAAAATGGTGGCAAGGGAAACGGAAGAACCATTGACCAGCTTCGGATACAAGCGTTCCGGGTGAACCAAAAGAGTCTAAACCCATTGGGAAGCCCGGCACTGCTTCGATCTTTGCTGTTGGAGGGGCTAGTGTGGCACCTAGAACGGCAAAAGAGACTGTGGCAGGGCAGGCTCCCACCAAGATGCGTAAAAAGGCGGCAATGTGAAGCAAGGCTCATGCAAAGCCTTTGTCTAAAGGACCAAAGCCCATAGACAAGATCCGGAGGAAATGATATGGCTGTGAGGTGCGTCCAAATAAATATACAGCATGCTAGGGCATCTACTGATGTTCTAGTTCATATATTTAGGAAGGATCACCTCGATGTCGCCCTTATCCAAGAGCCTTACATAGTGAAGGATCAGATTAAGGGCCTAACAGGTGAGCTATTGTATGATAATATAATTGGGGGCAGGCCTAGGGCTTGCATTTTATTTAATAAAAGGCTAACGTATTTTCCCATTTCAGATTACTGTTCTAAGGATCATGTAGTTGCGTTGGTGAAGGTGAAGTCTTCCGGAGGGTGGACAGAGTTCGTTGTGTGCTCATCCTACCTCCCGGGAGACTGTGCCCACCTAGGCGAGCAACTGAAGGATCTAGTGTACTTTTGTGAAAGGAGGAACTTGCAACTTATAATAGGAAGTGATGCCAATGCCCACCACACCGTCTCTGGAAACAGTAATATAAACAAAAGAGGTGATTGCCTACTTGAATTTATATATAGCAATAAATTAATGGTTATGAATGAGGGCAATAGGCCGACATTCATAAATGCAATTAGGGAAGAGGTCCTTGACATCACCCTTTGCACTGAGTTTATCGGCAGTAGGGTTAGTGGATGGTGTGTCTCAAATGAGACATCCATGTCCGATCATAGGCAGATTAGGTTTGATATCATGGTGTCCGGGGGCCTGGCAGAAGAAATGTATCGGGTACCCCAATCCACAGATTGGATTCAATTCGAAACACTCCTCATGGATGGGATTGGATCCATTCCCGCTTCTGTCAGAACGGTGATGGATATCGGACTGGCCAGCGAGGCTCTGACGGCGGCTATTACTAGTGCCTACCATGGGAGCTGCCGCGCTAAGCCGAGGCGGAGAAATATGAAGTGCCCGTGGTGGAATGAAGAGCTTTCAAGGCTTAGACTAAAGACCAGAAAGCTATTCAATAAGGCCAAGGCGGGTTCGTGGGAAGAGTATAAGGACTCACTCACGAAATACAATAAAGAAATTAGGAAAGCAAAGAAAACTTCGTGGAGGGCATTCTGCAAGGGCATTGATGAACTCTCCGGCAGTGCGCGTCTTCACAGAGTGCTTCCCAAAAAGTATGCCAGCGGGTTGGGCCTAATGGAACGGCCTGATGGCTCTATGACTGAGAACGGAAAGCAGACGTTGGAGCTTATGGCGTCAACGCACTTTCCTGACTCGGAAATTCTTCGGAATCACTCAAATGCGGTCATTGAACCGAGGGCATCCTTGCCCAGGAGGGATGACTGGCAACGATTCCGCCTGGTCTTCACTATGGGCAGGATTAGATGTGCTGTTTTCTCTTTCAGGCCCCTCAAATCTCCTGGTAATGACGGGATATATCCTGCATTTTTGCAGAGGGGTTTTCAACATATCGCCAGAGCACTGTTGGAAATTTTTCGTGCCAGCTATGCATGGAGTTACATCCCTCAGGCATGGAGGGTGGCTAAAGTGACGTATATTCCGACGGTGGGTAAGCGACCAAGCAACCACCCAAGGTCTTTCCGTTCAATCAGCCTTACTTCTATTCTATTGAAAGCAATGGAAAAAGTGGTTGATAGTTTTATACGCGACGATGCACTGGGAAGCAATCCCTCATAAATCTCAGTACGCCTACCAGTCGAGAAGGTCTACTGTACTCGCTCTGCAGAGTCTGGTGGGGGTCTTTGAAAACTCACTGGAAGTGCGGGAGGTGGCAGTTGGCTGCTTCTTTGATATAGAGGGAGCTTTTGACAACACCCCATATCATGTCATCTGTGAGTCGTTGCACAAACGAGGGATTGATGCGACGGCTAGCAGATGGGTTAATCGGATAGGATTATTAAGTCCACCATAGCTGACGATATACTCTTCATCTCCGCTGCAAAAGGGTGTCCGCAGGGTTTGGTTTTTTTGTCTCTCCCGTGGTCCATTGTAGTGGGTGATTTAATGGCTACTCTCAGGGGCTCCGGGGCACGTGTCTGGCGATACGCCGACGATGAAGTCTTCGTCGTACGGAGAAAATTTGAGAGCACTACTTCTGATCTTCCACAGCAAAATTTACGTGTTGTGGA